CTGTCTTCACAACTTTTCTAAAGGGAAAGAAAATGTTTTTGAAAAACCCAGAGAGTTTGAGGCAGGGTGGAGACTCTCTTGCTTGTCTTGAGTTAGCCAATAGTACGTGAAGCCTCTCTGACAGRACCATGGGGCAATTTTCTGGGTGGCCCCCAGGAGCAGGAGAGTCCCACCAACAGCAGCCATAGCACCTCAGTCTTTCAACCCTAGAGAKTCTTCCACCAGGCAGACCTTGGAAGAGGACCTGAGCCTGAAGGGAAGTGTGGCCCGACCAGTGCCTTGCAGTCAGCTGGTGGGTACCAAGACTGACCAGCAGAAACACTGGGATAATGAATGTGCTGCTCCTGGCGGCTGAGTCTGTGATGCCTTGTCACACAGCATACCAGGAGCGGTGGTGGGCCTGGGTTCTCTGGTAGACACCAGGGAATGTGCCTTTGATCACAGAGATATGTCTGGGTCACAGTAGGCATCATCTAACATAGCAGATGTCAGAGAAAAGAACTCTGAGGTGGGGAGAAGGCACATGGCCCATCCAGCTCGTCCTGGGGTTCTCAAGGTGTCTGCTGGGCAGAGTGGCCCTGCTGCTGGCATCTGTCTCCCGTCCTTCATCCAGGCACACTCAGCGTGTACCTGTGGAACCTGCCCTGGACATGCCCCTGGTGCAGAGGGGACCACCACCCTGCATATGTTCCCTGGCAAAACTGTGAGGCCCCTCAACCTGCAGAAAACCCTGGGAGATCTGAGTGGACATCATGGGCACAGGGCACCACCCTGTGTCCAAACCTGGAACCACAAAGCAGCTGGAGAAAGCTGCWGCAGAAGGTGGGGGCGTGGCCGAAAAGAAAATAAAAGCGTTTCCATGTGCTGCTCCAGTGACCACACTCCGAGAAGCGGCCTTCTGTTGAAGATAGACATCCAGTGAAGAGGAAGCACAATAGATGTCATTTCTATGGCAAAGGTGACAAGTCACAAGAGCGTGTCTTCTTTGATGGCTGGGTTTTGCCTACTGTGTCAGTCAGGAGTTTTCAGAGAAGTAAACCAGCAGAGTGTGCGTGTGTATGTGCTATGTGCATGTGCGTGTGCGTGTGTGAGAGGATGGGTATGCATGAGTGAGAATGTCTGTGAGTATGTAAAGGAGACCCTGCAAGTGCGCAGTGCATGTGCATCCTTTCTGGGGCCCCTGCTGCCAGGGCCACGCCCCCACCAAGGGCCACGCCCCCACCTTCTGTGGCAGCTTTCTCCAGCTGCTTTGTGGTTCCAGGTTTGGACACAGGGTGGTGCCCTGTGCCCATGATGTCCACTCAGATCTCCCAGGGTTTTCTGCAGGTTGAGGGGGCCTCACAGTTTTGCCAGGGAACATATGCAGGGTGGTGGTCCCCTCTGCACCAGGGGCATGTCCAGGGCAGGTTCCACAGGTACACGCTGAGTGTGCCTGGATGAAGGASGGGAGACAGATGCCAGCAGCAGGGCCACTCTGCCCAGCAGACACCTTGAGAACCCCAGGACGAGCTGGATGGGCCTGGTGGGCCATGTGCCTTCTCCCCACCTCAGCTTCCCTGGCTGCTACACGGGACCTTCATCCTCACCCTGTAGCCTACTTGGCTGACTTCCCCTTCTCCTGGGCACATTGTTTTCCTTCAAATAAAAGGTAGGCCTGGGAAAGGAGGGGTCCAGGTCTTGGGGTGAAGGAGGGAGAAGCTGCGACGTGATCCCCATCTGTGGCAGCCCTGAGCAGAGGGCAGCAGGGGTCTGGGTGTTGGGGTAGCACAAGTGGCTCAAATTGGGGACTAAAAGCAGGTTAGGGTGAGGCCCAGTGCTCACACCTAGAGGTCTCAGGTCCAGGAGCTGAGTGACTAGAGGAGTGAGGAAGGCCTGCCAGGTAGTGCCTGGAAAGTTCTGGAAGTTCAGAGAGGTCAGGAGGCCTGATAAGGGGCTGGAGTTTCCCGTGAAGCCCTCCTGGCAGCATCTTCTCCTTGCACTGCCCCTTGGCCTGGCCCTCACTGRGGCCTCACCCACACAAGGCTGGGCTGACGATGCCCCAGGGTGCAGTGAGCATCTCCACTGCCCACACCCAGCCCAGCTGAGGTCCAGGAGGGCAGAAATGGAACCCCACCCCTACCCCCAGAGGCAGTCCTTATCTGTGAAAGAAGAAACACCTCTGCTGGGAGAATGATCCTCTGCGCAAATGCTCAGGTACTGAGCCTTATCCTTAGCTGGACCCCAAGACTATAATTAAAGGTTCACGAGGAAGGGATTATCACAGAGGAGGGGCAGAGCCCTCTATGACCTGAGGCTGGCATCAGAAGCCCAGTGCTACCGGAGATAACATTCAGGACACTYTCCCTTCTTGGCCTCCAGGGACTAGTCCCTTCCTGAGAAGCAAAGTCCCAGGAAGACTATCTGGCTTGGGTCCTGGGAGGCAGGAGGAGAGCCTTAGAAGGAGCCCCACATTTAGAGTGCGATGTGATTTCTGGGGAGGAGCAAAAATAATGCTCCCTGTCACCATCATTCTAAATAAACCAACAAGGGCATGACTGTCTTCAGGAAGGGTAGTTACCATGCCCAAGTCTGGGGGAGCTGGTGATGGCCCTGGATGAGGCTGAGGGCCACATGCTTGGTATGGTAAGATGTCCCCTAATCTGGTCTGGAAACAACCAGAGTACCCTCTTGCCGGGTTTCTGTTCTCGCGACTAAAGGGCTCAGGGGTCACTCCAGTTAAACTGGGCTAACTGGGCTGCATGAAATAACCACATAAGAGACACAATACCTTTTTCTTTGGGGTCACTGTGACGGCTCCTCTGACCTAAGGGTCCCCAGAGAGAGAGAGCAAGAGCACCAGCTGACCCCTTTTATTGAGGAGAAGCTATTCAAATGAGGCCAGGGGTCAGGTTTCAGGGGGCTGAGTATCTTCATGATGTCCACTGTCAGCAGGTTGA